CTTGCTGCTTTCTTGTTGGCCTCAGGGTTTAAATAAAAATAAAAATAAATCAAAATTAAAATAATAAAAGATGGAAAATAATAAAAAATGAATAATTTACTTTTTTGAAAGTTTGTTTATTTGCAACTGCTGACACTTAGTGTCTCCTCATTGCCGTCTTAGTGTCTCTTTTCGTGCTGCTGCTGCTGCATCTGCTGCTGCTGCATCTGTTGCTGCTGCATCTGCTGCTGCATCTGCTGCTGCATTTGCTGCTGTATTTGTTGCTGCTGGATCATTTGCTGCTGCTGGGCCTGCTGCCGCTGCTGCTGCGTCTCGCCTGCTGCTGGATCTGCTGCTGCTGCTGCATCTCACCTGTTGCTGCATTTGCTGCTGCTGCTGCTGCTCACGTGCTGCAGCACCTCACCCGCTGCTGCTGCTGCAGCACCACAGCTGCAGCAGCTCACCCGCTGCTGCTGCTGCAGCAGCTCACCTGCTGCAGCAGCTCACCTGCCGCTGCTGCTGCTGCTGCAGCACCTCACCTGCTGCAGCAGCTCACCTGCCGCTGCTGCTGCTGCTGCAGCACCTCAGCTGCTGCAGCAGCTCACCTGCCGCTGCTGCTGCTGCTGCTGCTGCTGCTCAGTTACCGGGCGGACTTGAAGGAGAGTTTCGCAATGGACAGCAGCAAACTGGATTTGCTGCTGCAGCTGGTGGAGCCTTGCCTGCAGCACTTTCTGGCGGATGCTGCTGGGGGTGGGGGTTTAGCTGCTGCTGCAGTGGCGAATGCAGCAGCAACAGTCTCCGACATAAAGCAGAAGCTGCTGCTGCTGAAAAACAAACAAAACTCTCTTTTTAATCCTTTAATTCTACACTTTGATGTTTCTGCCATGTACCCAAACATCATCATTTCCCAAAGACTCCAGCCAGCAGCTGTCAAGACACCCCAGCAGTGCAGGGAGTGCCCCTGGTTCGACAGAGGTGACTTCATTTATTAATTAATTAATTAATTAATTAATTAATTAATTAGTTAATTAATTAATTAATTAATTAATTAATTAATTAATTAATTAATTAATTGATTAATTAATTGTTTATTGTTCAGTTATCTGTTTATTTGTTTATTTATTTGTTCCTTTGTTTTCGGGTGTTTGTTTTGTTGCGGGGAGACAGAGGTGACTTCGTTTATTTATTTTTATTATTTATTTATTTGCTAATTAATTAATTAATTAATTAATTAGTTAATTAATTAATTAATTAATTAATTGCTTACTTGTTTATTCATTTATTTGTTTATTTATTTGATTGTTTATTATTTATTTATTTATTTATTTGTTTGTTTATTTTTTATTGTTTGTTTTGTTTGGTGGAGACTCTCTTTTTAATTGCAATTAAATTTTCTCTTTTTGATTTTAAAATTAAATGTCCCTTTTTGTCTCCACAATAATTCAGTTTGTACAATTAATTAATAGTTGCTGAATTATTATTATTGGTTAATTGTTTAATGATAATTGATTTATAATAATTGAATTATAATAATTGAATTACAATAATTGAATTATAATAATTCAATTATAGTATTTGATTTACTATAATTGAATTATAATAATTGGCTAATAATAATTGAATTATAATAGTGATTAATAATAATTAATTAATAATAAATGAATTATAATAATTTAATTACAATAATTGAATTATAATAATTGAGTTAATGAGAAACTGTCTCCTTTTGGCTTCATGGAGAAGTGTCTCTTTGTGTCTGCTGCTTCTTATTTTGCTGCTGCTTCTTTTGCTGCTGCCTCTTTTGCTGCTGCCCCTTTTGCTGCTGCTTCGCTGCTGTTGCATGGTTTGCTGCTGCTTCATTTGCTGCTGCTTCATTTGCTGCAGCTCCTTCATTTGCTGCTGCTGCTTCGTTTGCTGCTGCTGTTTCATTTGCTGCTGTTTCATTTGCTGCTGCTGTTTCTTTTGCTGCTGCTTCATTTGCTGCTGCTGGTTTGCCGCTGCTGCTTCATTTGCTGCTGCTTCACTTGCTGCTGCTGTTTCTTTTGCTGCTGCTTCATTTGCTGCTGCTGTTTCTTTTGCTGCTGCTTGATTTCCTGCTGCTGCTTCATTTGCTGCTGCTGCGTCATTTGCTGCTTATGCGTTTGCTGCTGCTGCTTCATTTCCTGCTGTTTCATTTGCTGCTGCTTCATTTGCTGCTGTTTCACTTGCTGCTGCTGTTCCTTTTGCTGCTGCTTCATTTGTTGCTACTGTTTCTTTTGCTGCTGCTTCATTTGCTGCTGCTGGTTTGCTGCTGCTGCTTCATTTGCTGCTGCTGCTTCATTTTCTGCTGTTTCATTTGCTGCTGCTTCATTTGCTGCTGCTTCATTTGCTGCTGCTGTTTCTTTTTCTGCTGCTTCATTTGCTGCAGCTGTTTCTTTTGCTGCTGCTTCATTTGCTGCTGCTGGTTTGCTGCTGCTGCTTCATTTGCTGCTGCCGGTTTGCTGCTGCTGCTGGTTTGCTGCTGCTGCTTCATTTGCTGCTG